CCGGAATCTGAGGCGCGCACTGCCCTCCACGAGAGGCAACATGCAAGGGAGAGGTACAAGGCGGAGCAATCCGTGCGCTGCTACCACGGGTTGTTGGTGGAGCCCGACAAGGATGAGCGGCTCCTTGCTTGGGTCTACCGTCGGCCGCTGACGACGGTGGAGACGAACGCTCGCCGCCTACAATGGAAGAACGCGAAGGCGCTCCGACTTGCCATGGAGCAGTCGGAGCACAAGGTGGCGCAGGCAGCAACGGAGGCGACTCGAATGGCCAAGCTGAAGCGGTTGCACAACAGGGCATCCACCGGATGAAGGGGCTCATCGTCCTCTCCTACCCCTCGTCCGCCGACGGCGACGACCACAGCTCCACCTCGTCCTCCGAGAACCAAGATCCACCACTATCCGCGGATTCCGACAGCTGCGTCGCTGACCGGAAGGGCAAAGGCCAGGCAAGGAAGTGGTGATCCTGTTCGTCCTCCATTTAGATTATCGTTTTTTAGTTGTCTAAGTTAAGAACTTGTCCAACGATGAACTGTGATGATCTTTTGGATGATGTAGTCAGGTTTATGTTCATTTTGTTGTCCGGCGATTTGTTTGTCCGTTGTTTGATCACGTAGAGTAGTTCATCACATTGCATGCGTAGTATGGACATATATAGAGTGCCGGATATAACGTACGCGGATGTGAAATGTATTATTTGAGAACGCGTCCGTGGGCGTTTGAGAGTCTGGATTTGACAAGTCCGGCTGTAGATGCTCTAAGTACAAAAGTGTAGTCTTCCACGCACGCATGGTGTGTTGCCAAAACACTGAGGGTGCAGCCATTCGGAGAATCTTTGCAAACCTTGAACACTGAAACTTTGCACAATTGAACTCTTCCTCACATGTTATGTTCCCTTCGCAAAATAAGTGTTAGTTTCGAGGTAACCGGAGCACTAAACAAAAACAATGGACGTGAAATGGATCACTGAGCATGGACGCGCTGGCCAACCAACAGCCACATCCTGCAGCTGCACGATTGTGAGCAGACAGTTTATTTTTTAGATCAGTGAGCAGACAAATATAAGTATCCGGGGAAAGACCTAAGGATGTGGGCGCACGTGAACAAACTAGCTCGGCAGGCTGTCTCCAGAAAATCCGTATGTCCATGCGCGTGTCTGCCCACGCTCTTCATTGAGCTGCCAACTGCATCGGCAGATGCATGTGCGAGTTGCCAAGAAGAGACGGATGCATGTGAGCCATTTTTGGCGTGTCCCTTTTGTTAAAAGATTTGAATTCAGATCAGATCAGACAGGATATATTACGTGGAGGCATTGCTTGCGAGTTGTCCGCGGCTATTGCGTCCCTGCTGCCACGAGGATCCTCACTCTGAACATGCATGTCGATTGTGGGTCAGACTCAGTACTAGTATATATAATAACAGCTAGGTTGTGATAGGATCAAAAACCGGCCCATGTGACCACCTAGCGGAAGAGCTAGCGAGATGAGAGTTGCGGTGGTGGGAGCCGGAGTGAGCGGGCTGGCAGCGGCGCAGGAGCTCGCGGCGAGCGGTGGCGCTCGCGTGACAGTGTATGAGAAGGAAGACTGGCTTGGCGGGTGTGCCAGGAGGACCGTGGCCGTCGAGGACGGCGCCGGCCTTGTCCACCTGGACCTTTGCCCCATGGTCTTCAAGCAGGTCGGTAGTCTTTCATCCTGCATTTTATCAATGATTCGCTCATCCTATTCAATAATTTAGGGATCCTCGTCTTGTGTCATGGCAAAATCTTTTACCCCGATTAGATTCAATCAACCTGATACAAGGACAGGTTGAATTTCACTCGAATCTCAATACATCTGGTCCTTGACAGTCAACATTCACAGATTCCAGTGGATAATGACAATAAAATTTGGAAATAAAAGATTCCACCAAAAACTAAAATATGCATGTGGTATCTTCCAAGGGAGTTGTGCTAACCAAAGATAACCTCGCCTGTAGCAATTGGCCCGTTAGCAAGAAATGTAGTTTTTGTACTCACAACGAGAAAATAAAATACCTCTTTTTCCAGTGCTAGTTTACGTGTTCTATGTGGTCAGTCATTCAAATAACGTCTAAATTGTATCCGCCAACAAGTGTTGCCAACAATTTTGGTCATTGATTGGACGGTATTCTAAATAGGTTCACAACGCCGATAAGGGTGGGAGCGTATGTATTGTTATGGTCGCTTTGGCTGGGTAGAAATAATTTGGTTTGTAGTAGCAAAAACGCTTCTCCTTTCGAGGTTATTTTCCACTGCATGTACTGGCTTCATACGTGGTGTATTCTACATTGAACGGAGTATAGACCGTCGTTCAAAGCGATGTGTATGCAGTTGGAGATGGTGGTCATGGAGGTTTTTACCCAACATGGATGGCAGCATAACCTCTGGATCAGTCCACCGCCTCCTTCGAGATAGGCATAGTGTCGGTTCTATATGACTTTCCTGCTGCTGATATGTCATTTTCTATTTTTCTTTTGTCAGACCGTTGGTCTTTGGCTATGTGCATCTTAGTTGTGAAGAGGCGCGGTGTTGCTCATCATGTTATGTATCCGCTTGATGCTATATTTTGGGTTAATAAAAGCGCCTTTTATCAAAAAAATAAAACTACTCCCTAGAGCATGTCCAGATAGATAAATAGAAGTACTCTAGTTAGATCATCTACTTTTTTTGCGACTAATTATATCATCTAGTTGAAGTAACTTCATATACTCTATTTCATATATAGCCCACAACCAGTTAATACATAGGACCCCACAAGTAAATAATCCGACAAGAATATGATATTCTTATTTTGTCAAATACCATGTTACCGTTCCTACCTAGGAAAGGCACGTCTATTGTACTATAAAGGATAAGGCTCCTTTGACTCTGAAGGATTTCATAGCATTTTTAGAGAATTTTTATTGATCCTAATCTTAGGAGTCAAAGTACTGGAAAACATTCAACCAACTGAATTCAAAATATTGTCAAAATTAGTTTAACTAATGGAAAATATCCATATACTCCCTTCATTTCATAATGTAGTGCATATAGATTTTTTTAAAGTCAAACATCATAAATTTTGACCAAGTTTGTTGAGAAAACGATTTACATATAGAATGTCAAACATACATCATTAGAGTAATCATAAGATGTAGTTTCATATTTTATATATTTGGTACTGTAGATATGAAATATTTTCTCTGTAAAATTGATCAAAGTTGCAAAGTTTTTTTTTAAATCGGTAAGCACTACATTATGGAATGAAGGGAGTATTACAAAAAGGAAAGAAAAATTGCATGCACCTCAATATAAATTTAAAGTAATAACACGAAATGTTCACATTTAAAACCATTTTGATATCTTTATTTTTCAGTTAAAAATTTTAGAAATATTTTCTAAATTGGCTTAGCTATTGAAAAATATTTATATAATGAAAAAGTAAAAAAAAATCGTATGTTTAATTTGAAATGTTCATCTGATGTATAAAAATCCCATTATACGTTTTTATGTACTGTAAAATAGAGTTCATGTTTTTGAAAAGAGGGTTCATGTTTTTGAAAATAGTTGTCCATGCATGTATATATGAATAACAAAAAATGTAAAATGTGCAGAGTACAAGAAGAAAAAAGAAAGTAAATACATAAACAAATAAAGGGAAAAATGATTGTATTTTGTTTACATAAGCTAATGTTTATGTTGGAAATGGAGTTTCACTTCTTTAACATTTGTACCTATATAATGATATTTAGGTATGCCTATCATCTTAACTACTATGACTCATAACAGAATGTCTAACCTCTTAATGAACACAAAATCTCTTTTGGACATTTTAAAACATATGTTAAACTCTGATAAAAAAACATGTGTTAAACTTGTATAGTGTTATATTATGCATTGAACCAGGCAACATGCCCCAACATGATGCAATTGTTAGAGTTTCTCGGGTTGGAGATTGAAAGAACGGAGATACCCTTCTCGGTGAGCACAAAATTGGATAATGGAAGCCAATGCTACTGGAGCACTAGCAATGGTATCTCAAGCCTTTTGGCACAAAAGAGCAATGCTTTACAGCCCAGCTTTTGGTGCATGATCCGTGAGATACTTAAGTTCAAGACTGACGTGCTCGGGTAAGCAACCCAGTCAACTGGTTATCTTGATTGACCCAAAGTTAACAACTTACTGTACATCTTTTTGTGACATGTTATGTGCAGTGCTTGATTAATTTATTGTCTGCTTTGGAATTGAAGGTACCTGGATTATTATGAAAGTAACCCTGATCTTGATCAAAATGAAACTTTGGGGCGATTTGTTCAGTCGCATGAATATTCACACCTCTTCCAAGAAGCTTATCTTGTACTATTTCGAACCAACTTACTTCCTTTTTATTTAACTAGCAATTATTTATGGATTTTCCCCTAATTTTGACTTAAAATGTTTAGATTCAACCTTATTATTGACTTTCAAATCTATTATTATTCTTGTCATTCCAAGCTAGAAAGGAGTATAATCACATTATGCAGCTGAAATTACTTTTTATATCAACATTTTACGAAAAACATCAAACTAATATATTTTCATAGAATAGTAGATATTATAGACTGCCCATGCGCTATGTTTACAATATTTAGATTGCCAAAGCTTTATAAATTTTAATATTTGCTATTTAGGAGGTCAGCAGGTTAATTTGAAACAGAGAAAAAACAAATCTAGTATGAATAAACTAAGACATGAACATAAATAGTTACAAATAACGTTGAAATATTCACATAGAAACTCAAATGTGTCACTCCTACTTAGACTCTTTATTTACCTACCGGGGTTTTCCACCAAAAATAAATCTATCTCCCCCGGAAAGAAAAAGTATTTCTAGAAATATCGACTTGAATGTTGATTTCGTGAGAAAATATAACTTAATTAATTAATGCATATGAGAAAAAAATTAGGCTTGTTATTTAGATCTGAACCCAATATTTTCTATGAATATTTTTTAAAAGAGTGCATATCCTTTTTAATTTTTACTATTATAAACTTAGATTTTACATTTCGATAAACTAGAAAACCAATTTTATTAAGAGAACAAATGGAATATTTGACCTGCGGGATTAGACTACCTTTGTTACTATGAAATAACAAAAGATTTGGAAGTCAATAAGAAGGTTGTTTTGGACAAATTAGTCTACAGCCAACCAGTCCATAGAACCCACTCCAGATTTTTGTTTTGGACAAATTACTATGGAATAACAGAAGGTTTTCTGATTTATGAACATGTACTTGCTTGCAATTTAATCAATTTTGGCTAGGTG